CGAACGACCCGGACACTCTTCTGGAGTCCGACGACGACGGCGACGACGATGTAAACCCGCCCGACATTCATTTGGACGACGACAACACGGGCAACGACGCGCCAGCCCGACGACACCGAGCACCCGACCCGGCCAGCCTCCTCTGCGGCATTTTCCCCGCGGGCGTGGAAATGGACGACGTGATTGCTCCAGCGGCACGGCAGAGAAGCACCGCCGCAGAAGCGAAGTACATTGTCGAGTTCATGCGAGAGAACTCCGCCCGGCTCCGAGCGCCGGACGTGGCCTCTCGTGCACCAGTATTCGAGGATGCCGTGCGATTGCGCCCGGCCGCATCTCTGGCGGCTGCGGACCGGCAAGCGGATTTCTTCAAGATGATTGACGCCTGGAAGGCCGAGACGAGTACGAAGCCGCAGAAGTCCACTCAGGAGACGCAGGATGCCCTGCAGCATCGACTCCAGACGGTCATGGCAGACGGCCGCAGCTCGGCGTTCCCGCTTGTACCTCCGCGCACGCGGACTGCAGTGCTCGACGCTTGCTTCCACCTCTTGCGGGCGGGCGTACTGAACGTGGTCGACATGCCCGAGATCAACGTCAAACAGGCGCGCGCGCTGCTTTGGAACGCTGCATGGCTACAAGATGTCATGAACCGCGCGTGGGGGTTCGACGAGCCCTCTGGGCCGACTGTCACAGGGCGACCGTCTTTGGCAGACGGGTTTCAACTCGCACTCATGGGCCCCGGAGGCACTGGGAAGACGGCGGTTCTGAGAGTCGTCGAGGCAATCATCTGCTACTTCAACGGTCCAGACACGGTGCAGAAATGTGCGCCGTCGAACTCGGCGGCAAGGCTTCTGAGAGGGGACACACTGCACGCACTGTGCAAGCTACCGTTTGGCAACGTGACCGTGTCCAGTAAGAAAGGTCGCCTCACCCGCACTGTCTTGGAGAGCCACCGGAGCCGCTGGGAAGGCGCCCTCGCGTGCTTCATTGACGAGGTGTCCATGGTCGCAGCAGCCCAGCTCTTCCAGGCGGAGGTTCGATTGAAGGCGGCCAAGAACTCCACCCAGGCTTGGGGTGGCTTGGGCATGACGTTGTCCGGGGACTTCATGCAGCTCCCACCAGTCGACCCCACGGGCGACAACAGGAGCCTCGCCACGGACCTGGACGAGGTCGACGTCCTGAATGAGAAGGGCGAGTACGACCAGGAACAGAACGCGGACAAGAAGAGGTCGAAGCACGTGGAGACGGTGCAAGGACTGCAGCTGTGGCGCCGCGTCCGGAAAGTGGTGACGCTGGAAGTGAACGTCCGCGCCCCTGGCACACTCAGCCAGCTGCTGGCGGAGATGCGTGCAGGCAACATATCGGACGCGATGTGGTCCTTGTACACCAGTCGCATCTTATCTTCAGATGACGCCCGCCCGCGCGATCCCGCGTCGCCCTTCTCCACGAACCCCTGGACATACATCGTCCACAGGCACAAGATTCGCGTCTACCGATCCATGCAGAACGCTAAGCAGCAAGCACTGCGGACGGGCCGCCGCCTCTACGTCGTCCAAGCCCGCGACGAGCCAGTGGACCCCGCCGACGCTCAAAAAATGACAGAACAGGTCCATCGAGACCTCCTGCAGAAGGTGAGCCTGAAAGATACGCAGGACTTGCCGAGTCTTTTGCCCCTGTACATCGGAATGCGCCTGACTATGTGCTCGAAAGACTGCGTGCGGCTGGGCCTCATGAAGGGCTGCGTCTGCACGCTCCGCCACATTGTCTTCGCCGACGGAGAGCCGTTCCAGTCGGACCCAATGGGCGAGAACGTCGTGCACGTACAGTTCATGCCCGTTTCCCTATGGCTGCAGGCTGACGGCGGCGACTGGGGACTCCCGGCGGCCGACTTGGCTGCGGAACTCCCCACGTGCACTGACCGGCGCGGCTTGTTTCAAATGAGACCGACGTGCGGGTATTTGCGCGCGGCGTGGGAAGAGGAGCATTTCTCAGTACGCCGCACCACTTGCCGTTCATTGCCAGCAGATACGATTATTGTGTACGGCGCTCAGGGGGGTACATACGTAGCCGTGGTGGCTGACATGAAGAAGCCGCCTTCCATGGACGCAGATACGCATTGGCTACGCGATGCTCTCGCGCGCTGTCTCCGTGGAGAGCCTTTTCATTCTACGCCCGGCCACCAGGCGAGAACTTTCCCGAAAGCCGCCGAAGTTCCTGCTAGACGAGATTACCAGGCTGGCCGAAATGGAGACGTCGTCGCTCGGTGACCTCATCCGCACTTTGCGGGACATGACAGGAGATGCGTTGCCCGACGACCTGATGGATCACGTCCTCGCGAGCGATGGCGCGTCGCGCCAGGCATCCCGGGTAGCTTCCTTCCGAGCTAACCGCCCTGCCAGACACCAGCAGCGCGCGACAGCTTCGCCGCCGCCCTCGCGCCCCGAGGAGGGCCGCAGTGTGCTTCGGCGAACGCGCGGGAAGACACCGCCGCCAACGCTGCTGCCGCAGGATGGAGACACGTGGAGCGCCGGCGGCGGCGCGGCGGAGCAAGCGATGACCCTGTCTGCGCTGCCCCCGCTGAAGAAGCCGCGGCTGACGGAGAGTACCGCGGCGCAGGTGCCGCCGCCGCCCCGAGCGCAGGACTCTGTGCCAGGGAAGGCAATCGATGCACGCGCTGGCCATCAGGCGCAGTCCGGGCACCCAGCACCGATGGCCGACGCTCTCTTCGGCTCGGCACCCCCGACGACACGAACGCGAGCTCCAAGCGCAACAGCTACGTCGATAGTGCCGTCGACTGCATCCGTCCGCCCGTGCGGCGAGTGCGGCGCGCCGGAGTGCTGCGTCGACTACGAGCGGTGCCCCTTCTTCTTGCTATCACCTGCGTCCAACTCGCGCTCCCTGCTGCAGTGGGCACATGGTGCCGCCCATGCCGTCTCAGACGCACTGTGCACCCGCGTTGCAACTATTGGGTCTTCCATTGTCTCCACGATGTCCGTGCACAGCGTCGAGTTCGGCGGCCGCGGAGATTGCCTCTTCTACAGCATTGCCGGAGTGCTGGCTCGCATGGTTGTCGCTGGTGGCCCACCTGCGCGCCACATATTGAAGACCGTGTCTTCGCAAGTTTTCCTCCAGGGCAAGGATGCCGTCATGCGAGCACTCCGACATCTGTCCGCTCGGATATACCTGCGCTGGACCCCGGAGCAAGTACTTGACTTCATGGTGTCCGCCTGTATGCAGCACCGCACGGGGATGCATGAAGACCTATGGGTTCCGCTCGATGTTCTTCGCCAGTCCTCTCTGGATCGCTTCGCGCACGTGGAGAGCGTCCTCGCGTTCGAGGAAAGATCCGACGGGAGTGCCGTTGCCCGGGTGGCCGTGACAGCTGCGCGACCTGGAGGAGGCGACCGCGACGAAAGCCTGATCACTATGCCAGACGGCACGGCGCGACTGCAGCACCTTCGAGAAAGCATTGCCGCTTGCATGGCCCAACCTGGAAATATTCATTGGGGCACACAAACAGACGTCAACAGCCTCAGCGAGGCCCTCGACATCGGCGTCTTCGTGTTCCGGAACAATTTACCGGCACAGGCCTGGGGATCCCAAATCGACCTGGGCCAGGGACGTCTTGGCTACCCCCTCCGGGCAGCCCTCCTTGAACCCTCGGACTCTTGCGCCCAACGGTTCGAGACTCACCTGCTGCTGCGCGGGAAGCCCAGACTCCCTTGGCCCTCGTCACATTTCGGACCCCCCGAACCAGGCGACAACCTGCTTATACAACACGTGTAGCCAGCGCGACGATTACCCTTTCTGGATTTCCTTGTGGTGGGAAGAGCCCTTTCATTTCAGAGGTGCTGAACTACGCGCTGCACATCGTGCCGGCTCCCACGCGCCCGCATGCACGGAGACACAGACGTCTTTCTGGACAGCCGCAGACGTACCACCATTTCTACTCCACGAGTACGCAGAATGTAACCGCTTGGCGAACTGATCGCAAAGCGATCTGCCACTGCACTTTCATTCCCTTCGGAGGCGTGCCTACGAGCATGCCGCTGCTGCCGTGCAGTGTGCCGACGCCACGATGTGTTCGCATAGCGCATGACTTCCTCCCGCCAGTCCTGCAATCGACATCGACAAAGCAACGACGACGACGAGAAATACGATCACGAGGACGAGGGCAATAATGATGAAGACGGAAGCCACTACGCAAGAAAATACATCGACAAAGAAGACGACGTCAGCAACGACAAGAACACGAATCAACCGTCCACACCTTTGCGCACAAGAACGCCTGAGAGGCGCCCAAACGGCACCAAGAGTGCCAGAAGAAACTCCCATATCGCCCACGAGAGCCCCAAGACGGCCCCAGAGAGCGCCAAGATGGCCCAAGGGAGTAACCGCATACCCTCCAGAAGCGCCAGGACAATCCAAGGGGCCCACGACATTCCAGAGAAGTTCCAGAAAGATAACCAACAAGCTTTCAAGAGGCTCCCGAGAGACCCCCAGAAAGCCCGAAGAGCCCCAGACGGCCCACAAGGTCCATCACGCGCCGAGACGGCATACTGGGTCGGCCAGCACGCCAGACCAGCGCGGCAAACCAAAAGGCCGTTTTGCTCCAGCCATCCTCAAAGATGCGGTGCCGGATTGGAATCTGAACGCACATGGGCCCAAAGGCGCCCCGAGAGGCCTCCACCACGCGCCCGGAGACCCCAAGAACCCAATCTACGGACGCGCCAGCGTACAGAAAAAACATTCAGAAACCTCATAGAGTGTCCCACACGGCTCCCAGCGTGGCTTCGACCGTCCTTACTGCTCTGCACGAGCCCCCACGGAACCCGAAGGCTGCGCCCACACGCCCCCTACACACCGACAGCGATTCGCAAGGAGCTCCGAGAAGCGTCGCCTTCCCCCCATTCGTCCTCCTTGCCTCCTCTTCCCCTTTGTCTCCCTCCTTCCCCCCCTCTCCCAGCATCCTCCCGCCCCTCCTCATTCTCCTGTTCGTCCTCCTCCGCCGCCGCCGCCGCAGCCGCCGCCGCCGTCGTCGTCGTCACTCGTCCGTCGCCTCGGGAGCGCGAGCGTCGTATATTTTCGAGGGATCCTTGACTCGGGCACCGCGCAGTCCCCTCCTGTTCGCACAAGCGTTCCAGTTTTGACGTCCCCATGTGATGCCACACCTGCAACGAACGTTCGAACATTCGCTTCCCGTTCTTGTCAGGTCAGGTTTCTTGAATCGGCGCTGGGCCTCCATTCCTGGCGCGCGGAGCGCGCCAGGGGGGCGCTGGAGGCGCCGCCAAGAGTGTCCAGCGAAGATCCGAGAAATCCGTGCGGAAAACCCAAAGTTTTGTGCTCCTCGGGTATAGCCATATCCTTCCTTGTTGCCTTGGGTGGGCTGCTGACGGTGGCCCTGGCGCCGCGCGACGCCGGGCCGTTGTACTATGCGGGCGGTGCCCTCCTCGCCCTCGCAAGTGGTTTCGTCTTCAGCGAGGAGCCTCGTCCTCCTCCTCGCCCTTCTCCTCGTGCTCATTGTCCTCCTTGTCCTCGTTCTCTTCGCCCTCGTCCTCATCCTCCTCGCCCTCGCCCTCCTCGTCCTCCTCGCCCCCCACGTTGCCCTTGTCGACGAGGAGCGGACGAAGAGGACGCGGCAGCTGGCCCGGCTGCAGCGGGAGTACGCGCTGGGCGACTTGAGCGTGGAAGTCGTGAGCCCCGCGACGCGGCTGGCGCGGAGGGTTCAGGTGGCCAAGCTCAGGCCGTAGAAGAAGCAACGACGTACGCGTGTAAACTTTGGGAGCTCCGCGCGGACTTCTCGGATCGGCGCTGGGGCCCCCTCGGTGGCGCCTCCCGCACCGCCCCCAGTTCGCTCCGCGCGCAAGGGAGGGGGCCCCAGTGACGGGCCGCGCGGAGCTCCCAAAGTTTATGTTCCTGCTGTTCTGTCCCCCCCTGCCCAGGGGGAGCCGCCGCGTCGTGGCGCTCTACGGGAGCGGACCACAGCTGGAGGAGGCGCTCGAGGGGGCCATGCCGTACCGGACGAGACTGTCGCAGAGCGAGGTGGTGGTGGTGCCGACGGCGACGGAGGACGGCCCCTTCGACGCTGGGGAGGCCGTCGAGCGAGCGCTGGGTCGGGCCGGCGCCCGAGCGGCCCTGGGATCCTGGCTCGCGGACGCGGAGCCGCAGCGGGCGTGGCGGCGCTACTTCGACGAGCTGCTGGAAGACCGCGGCGGCACGACCGGGCGGGGCATCTGGGTGGCGCTGAACTTCCGGGGCCGGGTGCTCGGCAGCAATTTCGGCTGCCCGATCTGGGACGAGCTTCTGGCGGCAGTCCCGCCGAGGCTGCCGCTCATCTCCACGGAGGCGGCCAACGAGAGCGCGGAGTCTGCCGACGTGCTGGCGGCGCAGGCGCGCTTCTACGAGGCGCTGGTGGCCGGAGACGAGAAAGCCCTCGCTGGAATGTTTGTGGACCAGGACGACCCCGAGCTCAGCTTCGCGCTCGAGGTGGACGAGGCCGCGAACAGCAACCTGAGCGACTGGGCAGCCGTGCTCGCCGAGGGCGTCCGCCCTGAAATCACCACCGCTGGCCACGACTGCGTGCTGCGGAGTGCCGGAGACGCGGTGTCCACGTGCGTCGAGTTCCCCGTCCTGGGCCCCACACTGCTTGCAACGCAGCGCTGGCGGAGGGCGCCTGGCGGCAAGGACTGGAAGCTCCTGACGCACCGGAGCATCCCGTACGCCCCCGCCGTCGAGGCTCGCGTCACCCTGCGCTGCGATCGCCGCGGCTGCATCGCCTTCGGGAAGCAGCTCGACGCGATGCGGTAACCGGGCCTCTCGGCTGGCTCGGGCCCGTGAAGTCGCGAGTGGAGGCCAGGAAATGGGCGCATTGGAGTCCTCCTGCTGTCCTCCTCCCCGTGTTCGCTGACATCCTCCTGTTATGCCAAAAGTACGACGGGAAGGGCTTTGGCAGTTCTCGGCCTCCAGGGGCCCTCACTGGACTGGGCCCTGGGACCGTCAACAAAAACAAAAGCGATTTCCGGGAAAGGGTCCAGACCTCTTGGGAGCCACGTCGTTGTATACAATTCACGACGTCTGATGTCTGGGTCCCTTTATGAGAGACGGCGCAAGACTTTCTGCAAGTCGCAGTACAATGCTTCCTTGCGAGACACAGCGCAATACTCCAAAGTCCTTCTTTTGTTTAGCCGTCGAGGCCGTTCAATACTAGTCTGTCGCATAACGCTTTGGCAGACCAGGGGATGATACATTATAGGGCTAATTCGTATCTTTCGCAATCTGGTTCATCTTTTCTCCTCCTCCTCCTCCTTCCCCTCCTCTTCCCGTTCCCCCTGATTGTGGTGACGTCTACCCGGCCGGCCAATCCAGGAACAAAAAATCCAAAGTTTTTTTTGTGTAACTTCTCAAAAAGGAGTGCATCTCCCTGACAGGCTCTGATAGAGAGCAGCTGTTCCTTTCATCCGAAGCTCCACCGGGGGCCGGTGGGAGGCGTCTCCCAGACCCGGCGGGCTGCCAGGGCCGCTGCCGGGGATAAGGCGTACCATGGTTCCCTGTTTAACGGTTTGATCTATCTGGACGCCCGAAATGGGTACGGAAAGAATGGGTACAATGCCCAACAGCAGATCATGTTCGTTTTGAACAGGACTCGCTGTCCGCGCCACCGCGACATGTGTCCATTCGAGACAGGAGGCCGCCTCCCCAACAGCGGCCGCTCTTGATTTGGGACAACATTAGTTGTTGTGCATTGTACCCATTCTTTCCGTACCCATTCCGGGCGTCCAAAATCTAGAATTGAAGCACTTTGGTGTTTTGGCTCGATGGTGGCCCAGGGATGAGACTCACGATTGTGTTCTGGCTCGGTTTCAGCGTTCCCAGATACAGGAATAGGACTCACTATGGTGTTCTGGCTCGGTTTGGTCCAGGAATGGGGCTCGGTATGTTGTTCGGGTTCGATGTCCTTTCGCCAGGATCTGCACAGGGGAGTGGGGAGGGGTTCTACCGGTCCAGCGGCTGCTTAAAGTCGATTCATTGTGGCGTTCTGACTGGATTTACGTTTTCGCAGATTCAGACATGGCATTATGTTCTGGCTCGATGTGGTCCACGAATGAAGCTCACTACTGTGTTCTGGCTCGATTTCATCCCTCCCAGATTCAGAGATGAGACCCATTCATTATGGTGTTCTGGTTCGAGTTGGTCCAAAGACGATACTCACTCGGGCATTCTGGCTTAATTTCAGCCTTCCCAGATCCTGGCATGAGACTCACCATGGTGTTCTGGATCGATTTGGTCAAGACATGAAAGTTCACTGTTGTGTTAAGGCTTGATTCCAGCCCTCCCAGATTCAGAAATGAGATTCACCACGGTGTTATGGTTCGTTTTGGTCAAGAAATGATACTCAGTATGGTGTTCTGGTTAGATTTCAACCCACATGTTTCTCTCACCAAAATGTCCACTGGGGGGGGGGCGAGCGTTCTGGTGTGATTTCAGCTTTCGCATATCCAGAAATCAGACTCACGTTGATGTTTTGGCTCGATGTGGTCCACAAGCAAGACTTGATATTCACTGCGGCGTGTTGGCTCGATTTCAGCCCTCCCAGATCCAGAAATGAAACTCGCTGCTGTGTTCTGGCTCGATTTGGCACAACAATGATATTCAAGACGGTGTTCTGATTCTATTTCAATTCAGAGGTTCCTCTCCCCACAATCTCCGCAAGGTGGGGCGCGTGTTCTGCTTCGGTTTCAACCCCCGCAGACCGCGAAATGAGATTCACTCTTGTGCTGTGGCTCGATTTCAGCCGTCGCAGGTCCAGAAATGAAGTGGTTGCAGGGGCATCGGATTCTCAAAATTCCAGCTGCCCTAGGTCCAGAAAGTGTGGCAGGTTCAGACGGTTGTGACCACTCCAACTGTCAAGAGTGGGGCCGCTCGGTCCCTCATGCTGTTCCGAGCGCATTAATGTCACCATGCAGACATTACGAACGCCACCACACCTTAACTGGTACTTGGGCGCTTTGCCGGAGCAATTGTATCGAGAACGCCTACGGCGAATCACCACCGCCCCCTGCTTTTTGGAAGCGCCCATGCGGCCGAACGTTGGGCCGAAACTTGGCCAAACTAGTGAACGCGATTGACACCGCTGAGGCAACCTTAGGGGGGACACTTGGGAAAGGAAGACAATAGAGGAGGAAAGGCAGGAAAAAGAGGACAAGGAGGAGGAAGAAGAGGAGGCCGATCGAGGCCCTCTTCAGGCATCTGGGGGGCCTCTAGGGGACATCTTGGCCTTCGGAGGCCGTCTTGGAGCTCTCAGGGCAGTCGTGGGTCCCTCTTTCGGCGCTTTGGGGCCGCTTTGGAGGTCTATGGGGGCGTCTTGGGATCGTTTTGGGCCGTCTTGGGGCTTCTGTCTTGCAGGCCTCTTGGGCGCCTCTTGGGCCGTTTTGGGGCGACTTTTGTAGCTTATGGCCGTATTGGAGCCCCCAAAAACAAGAAATGGCGAGAACGCTAAAACCATTGGCCAACCTGTGAAAATTCACCGCCTTGGGGCTCCCAGAAGTCCTTTTGGAGCCCTCTTGGGCGTCTTGAGCGCTTCTCGGACCGTCTGGAGGACGCAGTGGGCAGTCTGGACGACATATGAGGCCATCTTGGGGCCATTTTGGCATCTTGGAGGCGTATTGGGACCGTCTTGGAAGCCATCTCGGAGACATCTGGGAGGCTATTTTGGGACATCTTGGTCGTCTTGGGACGATTTGTTGTGCACGTTGGGGTCCTCACGCGGCTCTCCGGGAGGCCGGCGGGTTGGGCCGAAGGCCGCTGGAAATCCGTACAAGAACCAAGAGCGACCTAAAATCCGGCACGCCGTGCCACGTAGTCCAGGACGCCTGGCGAGCACACATTTCGGCCGTCTCGCCGTCCAGCCGACGGGTGGACATCTCAGTGCGCAGCACCTGCGCGGACAGCTTGCGCCGCTTCATCGGCGGAAGACAGGGCCCGCGAGACAGACCGTGGGCGTGGAAGTGCTGCGTGGGTGCGGAGCCGTCTGCGGACAGGCTCCACCGCTTGACGGAACGGGCGCCCAATGCTTGCAGCGTGTGCAACGTCCCGAATTCTACCAAGCACATGCTCTGGGAGTGCCCCATCGCACTCGCTGAGCGGACCCGGGTCGGTCTTCCACCGTTGCCAGCCGTCGCGGCGAGCTTGTCGGACTCAGAGCGTAACGCCTTCCTGCTGAATGGTTGGTTTCCAGATAAGTACAGCGGAAACGCACGCCAGTGCATACGCGTGTGGTTCATTCGCGTATTCTGTGCCCCTCAATAAATCTGGGCCCCCGGACTACAGGTATCCTCCAGACTACAGGTACCTCTCCCCGAAAAAAGCACCCCTCCCCCAGACTACAGGTACACCTCCTGGACTCCACGCGTGCGTTGACGCGTGAACACGCGTTCCCCCCCAGACTGCAGGACCCCCCCCCCCAGACTACAGGTAACCTTTCCCCGGACTACAGGTACCCCAACCCAGACTAATGGACCCCCCCCCCCGATTACAGGTACCCCTCCCTCGGACTACAAGTACCCTCCCCGGACTACAGGTACCCTCAGAACTATTGAGGGACATGGGGTATTGGATTATATAGTTCACCATGATGGGTGACCTCTACGATTATTACCGCGCTTACATGGGCGGCCTTGACCCCGAGGAGCAACTCGCGAAGATCGTGCACTACACTTCAGAATTGAAGATGAACATGTTAATGTGTGTGGCTCTAGCCGTTTGCATTTCCCTGAGCCACACCATAGTTGCGCGCGGCACGCCGTGCACCCCTGGGGCAAGCTTTAGGGCGTAGGGGGCGGCGGCCCCAAGACGCCCACAACGAATCACTCTGGCTCCATGCATTTTTGGAAACGCCTATGTGGCCGAACGTTGTGACCAGAGCTCGGCCAAACTATCGGACGATGTGTTCCCCCAGCCGTTGTGGAAACTCTTCGGTGAACACGTGGGGGTAGAAAAAAGAAGAGAGGGAGGAAAACGAAGGAGGAGAAGGAGGAGGCCTCTTGGGAGTCTCTTGAAGCACTGTTTGAGCCCCCTGGGAGCTTCAGGGGGCCTCTGGGAGGCTTTCGAGGGGCTTCCATGGGCCTCCCTGGGGCCGTTTGAGGCTCCTTTGGGGGAGGGGGGAGTCTTAGACCGTCTGAGGGCGCTGCTGGCTCCTCTAACGCCGTCGGAAGGCGTCCTGGGGGCCTCCTTGGGCCAAGTTATGGCCCTGTTGGGGCGCTTCAGGGCCGTCTCGCGGACGCATGTGATCACAGCCACTGAGGGACCCCGGTGGGGCTCCCTGCTCCCTATGGAGCCAAGAAGCGCTGTATTGGGTGGGGCGGTCACATGTGATCACAGCCTTTGGGGCCGTCGGTGGAGCTCCCTCTGGGGCCACGAAGCGCTGCACTGGGTGGCGCGGGCGCATGTGATCACAGCCGCTGGGGGTTTCGGTGGGGCTCCCTATGGGGCCACGAAGTGCACGAAGTGCTGTATTGGGTGGCGCGGACGCACGGGATCACAGCCACTGGGACCTTCGGTGGAGCTCCCTATGGGGCCGCGATGCGCTGTACTGGGTGCGCTGGATTGGTGGACCTGCGGAGGGCAGAGGCAGGGATCGGAGAGAGGAGGGGCGAGGAGGAAATGGAGAAGGGGGAACGCGGGGCGTTGTCTCCTCAAAACGAGGACCCAACGCCACAGGACGGTTAGGAAAAGCGTGACACATGGGAGGACTGCGCTCCTCATGGGTTTCACGTGATCCGTCCATGCAACCAGCGCCGCTTGGTCTCAGCAGCGCAGTGACTGAGAGTCGTGGACATCATCCGAACGTCGCCCGTTCGCCTGCGCAAGGAAGAGGCCTGTAGGGGTGCATGGGGACTTCGGAAGTCGAGGGCTATTCGTCCATCGCG